CCAGGGAAAGGTCTTTATTTTCAAAATTTTATGAAAAAATTACTTGTGAGATATTATTCTCCTTTTGCACTTTGAGAAAAAAAATATTCCAGCCACAGATCTAAAGAAACATGAGAAAAAACTCAGATATTTCAGAAAAGCAATCCAAGTGCTTACATCACATATACATTTATAATAAATTTTCAGAAAGAGGTTAGCATGAAAAACACTAAAGATATTAATCAGAGTAATCTTTCAATTTCATAAAATGATGGCTGACAAATTTGTGAAGTTTTAAATTAAATTTGCAGATACTTCCTTTGTAACTATGCCACATTATTTATGTGATTAAAAACTAGTTTTTGACCTGATCTTTTGATCTTTGGCACTTCATCCTCTCCATCTCCTCTTCAAAAATTAATTAAAATTTTAGCAAAAGGATATCACTTCACTTCCCACTCTATCTTGAGGGGGGTAAAAAAAAAAAGAAAAAAAAAAGAAAAAAAATCAATCAAGCTCAACCCCATCTCCTCCCAGTATCTGTAAAATGCCGGCTTGAAATTCAATTTCATATCTCTCAAGCTTTCGTGTAGCAAAAGACAGTTCACTTCTTAACAAAATAAATCACTTCTGTGATTGCCACACTGACCTCTTTGAATTAGGAAAATTCAAAGTGAAAAATGTAATTATCACCCCAGAACAATCTGTATACATCTGGAGCTAATTTTAGATTCATTTCTCACATCATTTTTCATATTCTGCCAAAAATTACAGCTGCTATGTAACTTTAAAAAGACTTAGAGGTCTTTGTGATTTTCCTGGTTTTATTTCTACTATTTCACAAAGAACAACCCCAGTCTCTGCAACTAGCGCTGCTGAGCAATCCCCAGATCCTCAATTTGATTAGATTAGCATTAAGTGGCATTGTGACACATATGACAAATAGATGCATTAGAGCACGTCATTTATTCCTTATCCTTTCCACTTCCCAAAACCAAACAAGCGACGTACAGTACAGAGCACAACATGATTTCAAAAAAGATTAGATTACCAAAAAAAGAAGGAAAGGTCAACCACTCATCACTGATACAAGCAGCAGGGACACCAAAAACTAATTTTTAAAATCATAATACCATGCTATAAGGCATATATGTAATACTGGGATTAGTTTTACTCTAACACATTAACAAATGAACAGGAAAACTTGTACATGGATTTCTTGGTAGCAAGAATTCTTTTTTTTTTAATTTAAATCAGCAGCAAACTCACATTCTAGTAGTTGGGAACAACATCCACTTCCAGTATTGCTGGATGTAAAACAACCATCTCTAAATTCCAAAAATTCCATAAGGAAAATTAAATTCCTTTCAGGGTGAAAACATATTCTATTTCCTCAGGAAGATGGAAAACTAGATGAGTAAAGTTCTAGCTACATTCATTAATAATAAGCTCACCAGAAAACATAACTACTCTTCACTAGTTCATTGTAAAATCTATTAGCTGTAATCTCCAGAAGTAATTGTTCTTATTGCACTTTATTGACAACGCAGACTATCGATTTTTCACACCTTCTATGATTCTTTCATTTGTATTCATGAAATGTCTATCAGCACACTCTAAATAAATTTGGCAATATAGGCACTAAAACGAATAAATCGATGTGAAGAAGCATTAATTTTGCATTATCCTTATTCGTCAGGCAAGCAAACCATAAGGGTCGTAAATGAAGGTCAAAGGTTTTGAAATGGGTCAGAACCCTTGACCTCCAGACCAATACCGTTCCCATTAAAAAAGGCTATTTTAAAGTTTTAAGTAGGGGAATTTACTACCAGAAAGGTATCATTTTTAAGGCACCAAAAGAAAAACTCAATAAAAAGAGTCTTCCCTTTAATTACAAAGAAGAAAGCAAGAAACCCAAAAAGAAAATAATATAATACAGCATACACAATTTTAAGAAAGTTCTTCAGGCTCTGGCAGTTTTGTAACCACAGGAACGAGCAATACTCAGGTTCTTAAATACCTAAAATGACTTTGCCTTTAGGAACATAGAATTCCCCAAACTGCTAACAACCAAGGTTGCTTTCTTACATTTTTCTCAAATTCTTAGCACGTGTCAAATCAATTAAGAATGACAGGGTTTCAGAAGTATTTATCACTCATTTCATAACCTCTCCACAAAAGGAAAAATTCTGTTCATCCCAGAGGATTCAGCATGCCAAGATACAGAAATCAATCTGTTTGTATAACCTTAATATTTTATTGATCCCGTTTTATCTTCCAAAAATGACAACATAGAATTACTTAGGCAGACCAGGATCAAGGTTATATAAATGCTCAACAGTAAGGTAACATAAAACCTTTCGTATCTTCTCTTTCCTACCGAATAGACACAATTACAATGAATTTTTTTTTTAATCAAAAGGTTTTGCACATTATCTTTTTTTACCTACTACACATAATCTTAAATTTCAAGCCCAATTTTAACTGTAGTTTCCATTGTGCTCACAGACAGCAATTTCAGACAACACTGTCACTTAAACCTCACCTGAGAGCAAAGCAGCATCACCAGCTCCACAACTGAACTGCTGGATTTCATGCACACAAGACCTACAAAAGGAAAAAACAGTATACGTAAATGCATGCTTGTATGGCACCAGCTGTTCACAGAAAATATTGTGAAGTGCAACAGATCAGAAGCATTTTGACAGTCTAAGAGAAAGCTGAAATTCTCATACCACTTACAGTTCAATTTTGTACTTTATCAGCACAAAATAAAAGTATGTATGTGAGGAGATCATGAATTCCATGCCTCGCATCTCAGGATGCAGCTAATAGTAACACATTGCCTCTATCATCCACCGTTTCCTAAAAGTTTGTATTTCAGAACGATCAGAAGTGTGGTTAACATATGTTATATTAATCCACTGTATCTACATTTTGCCATTTCTTGAAGGATTGGGTCATTATATATGCAGAGAAGGGAAATGGCTTTCTGACCTTTGCTTTCTCCATTGCGCATTCTCCTTTCAGCCTCCAGCTATCAATCAAGTTTCCATTTTGTTTTGTGGCAGTAGACATCCCAAACACTCTTATTAGTACTTTGACCCTTAACCCCGCACTAAACCTTAGCAGAAGCACAAGCAGTAACCTACTAGATATTCTCAATTGTTTATAAACTCATTTGACTGTTATTAGTATTTGCATTTTGTTTTGGGTTTGTCTATAACTGGTTTTTAGGCCCAAAAATTGGTTTTGTGTGTTTACTTTTGTCTAGACAATTCAGAATAATTTCTCTGCTTTTTTTTTTGGTTATCCACTCTATGAAATACACATCTCTCTGGGTATATAATCTATATTACAGTCAAAATACTTAGAAACCAGATTATCTTTTCTTTATCTCCAGAGAAGAAAATGTAATTAAATAGGATATTTACTTCCCTTGCAAATAAAGCTTTGAGAAGAATCTCTTTCCTGTTTTCTTATTAAATGAATGAAATAAACTTGTTCACAAGGCAGCTTCCATTAAAATGTTTACCAGCTAAAGCGATGCTCACATGTATAACCCAAAGTAGAACGCCATCCTTTTCAGTCTCACAGGAGACAATTCATAGACTTCTTCCTGCCACTTCTTCCTACCCCAAAAGCTACGCGAGCTAAAGTCCTAAACTAAATAATTTTAATTTCAGTGAAGTTTAATGAAGTCTCCATTTTTATCCCAGCAGTCTTCAGAAAAACCCTTATCAGTGTTGGAGACTCTCATTGTGATCCTGACAATGCTGACCGCGTTCAGCACTACATACGGGACACCTGTCCTAACCGAGGAAACAAGCAGCTTCAAAAATGTTTTAAAAAGAGAACTTTCATTCCATAGGAAATAACTGGATCTATTAGTGCAAATACAGCTTACGCGCAAGTGATCAGCTCAAGTTAAGCAACTGTGAGCTTCTAACAAGGGAGTGCTGCGTTACTGCCAGCTGCAACAAGCTCAGGCTCTAATTCACCTCGCCGCTTTAACTGGACAAAAACCTGCGATTTTCAACCAGTGGACAAAGAAATCGATGTGATCTAACCAAATTGTGAGAAAATTGAAGAATTGGTGTTCACAACTAAATTCACAGTGTTCCAATCAACGCGCTTTTTTAAAACTGAGGACATCCATGTCTGCATTACAGAACTGAGCCTCATTTTTGAGAAACCCACCAGCAGAGAGCAAACTCAATCATCTCAAGCTCAATCATTTTAAGCCAACACCAGGCAGAGCCATGATCTTTGTTGTGTACTTGAATCTTCTAAACTAAGGAAAAGACAACAGCAGTTGGTCCCATATAATGAGATATAGGAAACCATGAGATGAGATGGAGGCAAAGAGGTAGCAGAGATGGCACAGATGAGGAGGCAATGACAGCGACCTCAGAGAAATCAAGACAGAAGGAACAAGAGGCAGTGGACAGCACTGTGTGGGAACGCAGGAAGAAAGCTTCTAAGGCAGAGCCAGCAGCAAAAAATATAGAAATTTGGAGTCTCCAAGGTAAAACAAAACACACATTACAAAACCCTTTTTTTAAAATGGAAACTTACTTGTACCTTCTATCAGCAACTCCTGCCCGTGGCTGCCCAAAAGAGTCCGAGAAAGAAAGGGAGCGAAATCCACAAAAATCTCCCTCAGAAGTGGGGCAGCTTTTTCCAAAGCATGTTCAAGCCTGTCTGTAATACTAGTAGAAAGACACGTGATCAACAAAAAAGAAAGAAGCTGCTGAAAATTTTCAGAAAGGAGTATAATTTTTTGGCAATGTTTAAGTGATACAGATGTATAAGAAGGAATCAATAACCCAACACTCATTTTCCCAAACCTTCATTAGGTATTGAACATCAGCAAAACAACATTAAGTGAAATTTTTTTTAAAATGTGGAATCAGAACATCAACTCTAATATCAAAAGAGTGAGCCAGCACACAGATGTTCAACTGAAGAAGGTACCTCATATTTGAAGTGGAATCCTCAGGCACTGAAGAAACTGCAGGGACAGACGGCAATTTGGAATTAGATGATCCCTTTCCTACAAGAGAAAACAATAAATACACAAATTATATAAGAAAACATGCCAGAGGCCAGACAACTAGAGCAGAAACCAAAGCCTCAATCTCTGAGAAGCCCCTGTTTTCAAGTGTGTGTGAGACCAAGTAAACCCTTTCGCCTCTCTGTACCTCCAACTTTTTTGCCATAAGACTCCTGTTCACTTACCTTTGTACTCACCAGGTACGCCACGACAAGCTTTTTAAATTTTGCTGTAGCACAGACAGAAAGCAATTCAAGGAAGCCTTGCAGTTTGCTTGGGGAGGAAGTCAGACCACACTGCAGTAATCCCTTCTGACCTTACAAACCGTGATTATCTCAAAACGAATTTAAGAACACTTACAACCTTAAGCAGGGAATGCAAATAATGTCTCGCACACTAAACACCCCTGTAGTCTATGAATATATATGACTATAACCAATAAATGCTAACATAAAGCCAAATGGTAACATTTTAAAGCATTTATTTTGGTTACTGGAAGTGCTCATCCAATTTTAAGTAACTTACAGAGAAAACTCTTAATTTTCTATCTAAAATTAAGACCTATTTGTGTCAAAATGAAGCAGAACACAAAACCAGTGGGTACTTTTCAACAGCCGGGCTTAAATTTTTGTGACACCGGGACTTTGACAAAGACAGCTCTAATAAAATTCTCCATTGCACTGCCAGCACCATTAGCGTGACAGCGGTGGTATAACCTCATTTATGAGTTATTAACTTTGCCATATCAATTATTCAGAGGTTGATATGGAAGACTGGGTCAATTTATCTATCCTATGCTTACCAAAAAAAAAAAAAAAAGGCAATTGTGTTATTTTAAATCGGCACTGCATGGCTCTCATCAGCAGAGTAGGAATCTGTAAATACTAAATTCTGCTGTTCAGTCTATAAAGAGAAATACAGCCTCCCTACTGCAGTATGGACTGGTATCAGCAATGATGGAGAGGGGGTAAGCAAGACAGGCAGAGATTTCACAGATATTTGCTGCCAGGCCAGGAATGGTGAGACTCACAAATCTTGCATTGCATTCCATCCTATAGAGAGGAATGAATCTTAGCAGACAGATTTCTGTGCATTTCCCAAGAGCACGACTCTTCTAGTCCATCTGCAATCCTATCTCTTCCCAACCTTAGGCCCTGTCCTATTCTCTTTCCTCTCACCTCGCCACTTCCAGATTCTTATACTGCAGAGAGGAGGGGGAAAGGAAAAAAAAAAAAGCATGAAAGAAAAGAGTTTTAATCATTTCAGTTCTCACATCTACCCTAGCAAAGACACGACCCTTCTCAGAACTGTAACTACAGAAAAACTCCTGATCATCCCGTCTCCACTGGAGTGAGCTCAGTTATAAATGCAACCTGTCTGGAAATAAGTGCTAAGATCTTGAAAGCGCCTACCAAAATGTGTCAACTGCAACTTGTCAAAGTCTTTCTACTCGACTGAAGTGCCATAGACAGATACCGGAGATACCAAGTTTATTTTTCTTGACAAATTTCAAACTTCTGCTCCAAATCATTGATACACAGAGCTTCTCCCCAGAAATGTATTATTTTTTTTCTGTCTGGGGAAGATGTTTTTCTCTAACCTGGCTTCAAAAGGCAGCACAGAAACTAATAATCGAAACTAATGCATCAAGATGGTGAAAAGTTTTGCTCTTATTTATTTTTTTTTCCTTCATAGGTAGGAGATACCTTTGTGAACATGATTCACTTAAGCTTTTCATAAATGCACCATGAAGCTCTCATTTTGACTTTTGTATGGGATTATGAAGTCAGAAAGAAATTTGGGTGGGCCATACAAAATGAAGGACAAGAAAGCTGGGGAAAAAAAGTGTTAGCTGAAAGCAAGGTGGAACTCGGATCTGCTGGGCATTGTTTCCTAAATAATTTATCTAATAAAGGCAAATCAAACATATATTTCTGAAAACTGCAACGGGGATGTCTAGCTTCTGCAAACATTTTCAATATTCTCATGGATATCATTCAGTTTAAGATCTAGTTTTACATAGTTAAACCACCAGAAAGTATTTTTGGTATTCTCAATGGAAAAGCAGTTACATGATGTGCTAAAAATTAGAACAGAGCCTCCTGGACAGAAAAACGAAACAAAGCCCACAGAAAGCAACATGCCACATGATTTAGTGGTTCCAAAGACTCCAGCTGTTTGTGGGATACTTAACAGCCACAAAAATTCATTTTTCTGACTTATATACATCCATACCTAAGTGTGCACAATACCTCTCTGCTGCCTGTTAGACTAAGACTTGAAAAAAATTATTTTATTTTCATGATAGCTTTTATATTTAAATCATTTCACTAGAATTCTCAGGTTTCTCCCTAAAGCCCACCACCCCTATTCTCATTAAATAAGTCCCTCTAATTTGAAAATATTCTTCAATCCACATAGCGGACGTAAGCCCGCACACCGCCCCTAAGGGGAAATCCACACACTGATCTGGGTACCTCCACAGAATACAAACCTGAAGTGGCACCTAAAGCCTTCAAAATAAGCAAGTCCTCTCCACATGTAGAAAGTCTTGTTAAATAAACGCTTGCATGCTTTTTACTACATATTGCCCAGCAATCCACTAATTACTGGGTATGTTGGAAGGTCAAAAGTACATACAACTAAAATCCCACCACATTAAACATGTAGCAAAATCAAGCATCACTTTATCAGTAAAAAATAAGACTTTAGCAGAGCAGCACAGTAGCATGAATTTTACAATTAAAGGAGATGAAAATAATTCAATGTAATATTTAGGCCACAAGCAAAACAACTGAAGGAAAAAATGAGAAAAAAAATTCAAGGGAAACATCTACAAGGACAATGAAAGGGCATAATAGCCATCACGAGGCTAACAGAAAGACATGCCTCAACCCTGCGTAACTGGGGGCTTGTTGTTTATTTTGTGGGGTGGGGGGGCTGGGAGGGGTGTTTGGTTTTCTGGTTTTCCACACAATGGCACTGGTAAAAATGGTGAGAGTAGGAGGCAAAGGAAATCACTGACAACAATGATAGGAGATGATTGTTTTTTCTTCTAGAAATCAAAACAAATTGCACATAACCAATTACATCTAAATGTAAGACTCTATGAAGTTTTAAGTTAAAATCAACTTGTAAATATAACAGAAAAAGCACTTTTAATTTGAATACAACAGCATAAGGCAGGCACCTCTATCAAGTGTTATTCTTTTTGGAGATTATGTCAGTATATTTATGGCCTGAACTTCTTCATGCTTATCATCACCTAAATCCACATTCCAAACTCAGATATATTTCACTGAAAGGGGTGAATCTCAGATTTATCACAGCCGAGAACGTCAGGGTTTTGTTTTGTTTTTTAGATAGGATTAGGCATAGTGATTTTCACATTCAAACTTTGTTTTGTGAAAATACTTTTTTGACTTCAACTCAGAAGCGGTTTTTTATTCTACTATTTTTACTGCCTTCAGTAAAAAAAAAAAAAAAAAAGAAAAAAAAAAAAAGAAAGCACTTCAGTAGCATATTTTATCCACAGCACACATGTGGGTAAGTGCAGTAGCTACTTCAAACATGTGGAACTAAACTGACTTATCTCTTCCTTACCCTTTCACTGATAAACTGGCTCCTTCAAACTGACAGTTTTACAGACATTTGCAAGAACATAAAAGAAAATGCAAATAGATCATCTGTCTAGCACCCTTACAGTGAAACCTTATTGCTTATTCAAGGTCCCCAAGGGTCTAAACAAATAATGTCTTAGCAATAAAATACTGTTAAAGAAACTCCTTGTGCAAGATCCTTACACTTCTGCAAATACACTTACGAGGTACGTGTGGGCAGTACACAAGCAGAGGGTGATATACTTTCACCTGGGAGGATGGAGAGGAGGTAAAAAAACAGAGCTGAATTAACCAACCATACTTTTCAATTTTGTACAACAGGCTGGACATTCGTAAATACACTGATGCCCTTTATGAAAGGAGTATCTGGTAAAATAATGAGCTCATTCCAAAATACACTTCCTGAGCTGGAAGTGTACAATGCAAGACTACAATGAAAGGTTTTACAAGCTAATAGAAGGGATCTGTTACATAAACACATCTGTAGGTTAAACCAAAACAGATTGCATGAAACAATGGTGTGCTCTCTAAAGAGAAGTTGCTTTAAAAGAGTTTTTCTACTGAAACAGCATTAAACCATTTCCACTGTGTGTCATTAGCATTTGAGATTTTTAACCGTGTTGTTCAGCTTTGGTAACTAGCCTTCAACGACTGCCACTGGGAAGTTAGGATTCTCTTTGAAACAGTTACTATAATCCAGCAAATTTCTTGAACTACTCCAGCACTGACGCAAACTCACTTCAGATTCATTTTTCTTACTTTACCTTGTCTCTCACTATTTTATTGCAAGACTTCAAGATTATTTCCACCTATGTATAAAAACCAATCAATACCATTCCTCTTTGCAAAATAAGCCAACTGTGGGACAACATTCACATTTTCATAGATGGAGAACTAGAATTCAGGAGTCACAACTCCTTCATCTCCTGTTAATGCTTATTCCCAGGTTCCTTCCAGGCATCCACCTTCTTTCTCACCCCAGCGTTTGTCATGGCCTTGTTTATGGCTTCCCACCTTGGGGAACAGCCCGTGCCTCTGCTCAGGTGAAGCAGAAATCCTGCTGGCAACTCTGCGTGGCTCAGAAGCAAAACAAGTGAAACCCAAAGAACTCCAAATAAGAAGAGAGAGTTCTTTAGAGTCAGGCACTAACAAACCGCGTGAGAAATCCTTCAAGTATATAGACAGAGAAACTCAGAGTATCAGTGGGAGTGCAAACTGCAAAACAGTTTCAAAAAGTTCGCACCACTTCAGAACAACTGTAAATGAAACATTTAAAAGGAAATTAAGCGACAAACAAAAATACAAGCATCCCACTGGCACATTCACAATAGCTCCGACAACTTTGCCGAGTCCTGCCTACCCAAACTTTACTCCTGCCTTTTTCATAGTCCTTCCTGGACACAGTACGTGTCAAATCCCTGCATCAAATCTCACGTTCAGCCGATGAGTCAATTCAAGGAAGAAACAACTCCAGTAAATTCCCCTTCCTTACATTATCACTAGTAAGTAGGCTCTTTTGCTCAATACCGCTCTCCATAAGGGACAGACAATTGGCTCAACATGGGCCACGAAGGGGCTTGACTTTTTCTATTCATTTCCAAGATCTTTCAACAACTGGAGTAACAATTCCAGCAGACCAACAACTCAACCATCAGCAACACACTGATGGGCAAGTTTAGACAACAAGGGACACATCTGTTTCCAGGAAAGGCTTTTTGTGCTGTGACATACTCTGTGGCTTGAATGAGCAAAGGTGAGAAGGCCAGGCTGGCTGAGGCCAAAACATGTTTTCACCCTCTTCCCAAGTATCCAAGGAACACAGTGAACTTAGATGGTTATCTTCCCAACCTGTCAACACGTTGTGTTCGGTAGGCCAGGACATGTCACATCCACTTGATATGAGCTTAGGACAATTGTAAGGGTCAAATATCTGAGATACCCACAGACCATGAGCCACAGGCAAGATGCAGACTTCCGGAAAAAAAATATTGGAAAGGAGGCTGACGAATTTGGAGCACCCACAAATGGCAATGGAGGCATCTGGAACCACAGACTGACTATATTCCAACACAGATCCTACCTTGACCAACAATTCTGACATCACAGCTGCAGGTGGAGGATGTACACATACTGCATTAAACTTATGCCCAAATTATGCTTATATACACACTACAACTAAAACACTTGCTGTATAATCCCACTTCAATGTCTGTGTCTCCCTTTCATCCCTGTTTTGGAGTAAATAGACCCAAGTTTACACAGTAAAGCATTACATGTTATTATATCAAGGTTCTGTTTGCATCATCAGATTGTAAAACATACCAAGCAAATGCATATAAAACTCGTGTGAAAAAATTTTTTGACTTGAGGAAAAACTGCAGAAATCTATTTTTAAATGTGGCAATAATGTTAATAGCCTTCATATAAAATTTGAAAAAGTTCCACGTTAATATTTGCTACATAAACCCCTAGTCTTAGCAATTTTTTAAATCCTTTAAAAAGGATTTAATTCATTTAATTACAAAGTCAACAGACTTACAAGAAACATTAGCTGAAAAAAATGAGAACAATATATTGATTCTCTGCTGCACAAAGACAAATATTAGTAAAAAAACATGTGATTTGAACTCAGGGGAAAATTATATATATTATATTTTGATTTTACAAGAAGCTTGCTTATTGCTACTTGTATCCTCAAATAAAGAAGTTAAAGCCCTTACACAGAACAGTACTCAAACTTAAATGCATGCAACTTACATGAGCAACAGAAGTGTAAACCACTCCAACTCTGCAAAATTTTTGTTTCCATGACATTATTTTATGGGGGAAAAAAAGAAACAGTCTCCCATTTTAATCTCTTTAAGGCATGAATTCATTTATCCCTTCACTTTTTCTTTTAATTAATTACATTGCCAGTCTAAACATGTCTACTATTTTTAATCCTGATTAGTTTCTTTTTATGCATATCAGTTCAGATTACATGTCCAATTTTTGCCAAAACTCCCAGACATGCTGGAAGTCACACAGTTACAAACTACATCAGTATTGTTTATTGTCTGCATTTCTTACACATTCTACAGGCACAGGAGTGCTTATTTTTCTTCTGTACTTTCTTACAAGATTGACTACATATGAAAATCCATGTTCATCTGCTTTGCTTCTGTTAAAAACACGGGAATACTCACTCCAGAAATCGTAATAATTAGGCCAATGTCTAACCTGGGTAAACAGGTAAGAAGTTGACAAATTAGCAATGATTTTTAACCATTTCAGCGTAGGGAAGGTTTTATTCTTTTAAATACAGATTAGCTGCTCAGAGTCAATCCTCCCTGAAGAACCATGACATTTTAAAAACCAGCTGATTTTCCTACTCCAAACATTACTCCTAGACTAGCATAGTGCTACCTCCTGACATTTCAGCAACAAAATGGATTGTCCCCTTTGCAAAGAGTAAGAACACACTAGATTACAAGAGTCTTTCTTTTCCTTTAACATGGCTGGAACAAAACCTTTTTCATTTTCCCAAGAAATGCAATGGGCAGTTGGAAGATGGCAACAGATACTTTCCAGACACACAAGTACTAGAGGACATTACAACAGATTACATTTTTTTCCTCAGTCTTTGCAATTTGGAAGGAAGTTCATAAAAACAGGAAACAAGAAACTCAACCATTGAAAAGAAACACCAATAATCAGGCACAGATTGAGATTTCCTGCATGAAGATGCAAATCAGTTTTAAGTCTTGACATTAAACTTCGTGGGCACAATTATGAGATCCTACACAACCTTGTGACTTAAACACGGCTAAGTAGGCAAGCATGCCTTCGACACAGCGTATAAGGTTAAACATCATTTATCTCATACAGAACGACCAGAGAGACTAAGGGTTCAAAGGACCACTTGCTTATAAACAACCTACTCAATTTTGTCCCCACTGAAAAAACTGTCCAAAGCAATTAGTTTAGCGTCAACACTGAACCTGACCTCAGGCGAAAGCTATTGGAAACACTTGTATATAATTTTCAGTCCTACTTAGCACTAACACACATATCCTTGGACAAAAACCCTACAAAATTTATAAATAAGCTTGTATTTTACATACTAAAAAAGCTGTAACAAAAAGTAGTCTTTAGAATAGACCGTATTTATACTAAATACAAGTTAATACAGTATGTCTGCTTTTCAGAAACTGAGAAATCTTGAAGTTATGACAAACATTGCATTAACAGGCTCAGACATTTGCATTTGTTCTGCTAGATGCAAAAGGAGAACCCCCAAAAAGTTTAGCAAAGCTTTTTTTTTTTTTAATGCAACACTACTTTTGTATTTTTTTAATTTAGGAACAGAAGGTTATTTATTTACATTTGTGTAGCTACAGTATCAAAACTAGGAATAATGAAATGATCAGGGGGATAAACTTACAGAAAATATCAAAAAAGGATGAATTCTTATATTCATGAACACCATATAACGTCACTGACAATTGGTCCAGTTTAACCTGGAGTCACATCTATTTTCCTGTGAAGTATCTGGTACTGGTCTTTGTTAGAGGTCCAGAGACCAAATGCAGGCCTGCAAGCTGCTGTGTGAGAGTATATGGCATGAAGATACAGACAAAGTAGTATCGCAGGATACAAAGGTCTCAAAGGCCTTTTTGTCTGACTTGATAATTTAGGACATGTTACACCACATGCACTCCAGTAGTTTAAAAAAAAATAATACAGTAAAGCATCATCTTTCCAGATTATTGGCACATTTTCCCCTAAGAAAATGCAACCAGCAATACGCATCAATATTCTTACTATAAGCAAGACCCATATAGAGAGCAGCTAATATATGTATAATACAGTAATCAGTATTACAATGGACGGCAACTGATGGCTGAATGTTTGAAAAACAACTTTTCTCATCTACAGTGTTTTGAGATATGGACAACTGTTGAAAAACATCTCACCTTCACACAACACAAAAAGCACACAACAAGAGATTGTTCAGTTGTATTCAGAGTGAATGGTGAAGGAAGGGGAAGCAAGAGAGGAAGGGCTGGGATAGAAGCTGGTTAATTGACCCTTACTCACCAGGAGATTCACCTGACAAATCCGGGGCTTGGGCTGAATCTAAAGAAGAAACCACACTGACAGCATTCGTAGGAATACCCATAGCAGCTGTAGAGGAGGAAACGGCTGATTTCTTCGGTGGTACAACAACACTCCTAGGTGAAGACAAAAAGTCAGTGAGTAACACTGTAGGAGGGTTCACACATTATGATCTTCGTTTACAAATCTAACACAAACTAGATTTTGGTCCTGCAGAAGTACCGTTCCTTCTCTGTTTTCTCTTTCCATTTTTTTTGGCAATCTACCTAAACAATGCTTCATCCTTGTTTAGTTTTTATGGTATGCTTAAATATCTCATCCACTTCTGCAAAATCCCTGACCAACAAGTACACAGTTAGGAGAACACCAGGGTAAGTGACCTAGCAGCAGGTTTCACTTTTTACTTCAGCTTCCCTGAGATCTGGTTTTAAACTTCAGGCAACTATTTACAAAAGATATCCCAGTATTCAAAATGAAAACATTACGATAAATTATCAACACTGAAGTTTGCCTTGACAGTATACTGATGCAGAAGAGAAGACTAATGGAAGAAAGACACACTACAGCTGGAACCATCCTAACACACCCGCGTGCACACACCAACACTCACACAACTTAAATACAGAGCTAAGGCATAGAGTATGTCTTGGCAATCAAGTTTTACTTATATAACAAATCAAAACATTCTTTGGAGCTGGAGAGAATCCCCATTTTTTGTACAAGTTAAATTTCAGGCCTTTTAGTCAGCACTAAGGATTACCCGCGAGGAAAAGATGCGAAGTGACGAGTTCGGCATGGAGATTTATCTCGTGTGTTACCAAGACATCTATTTATGCTATACCCATTTCCATTACACCGTGGTACTTTATTCCAAACACCTAAAAGGCCTTGTTAAGCATACGTTAAAGGCATTTTTAATTGCAAGTTAGCTCCATAAACATGCAAAAACCCTGCTAATGAGGTAAACAGTGCAGCTGATATATAATGCACTCCCACAGCAGCGCTTACTTTTAATTACCTGGTGTTAACCGTAAACTGAAAGTCCTCAACATTCCATTTATTTAATCACATCTTTTCCTGACAGTACAATAGCTACACACTGAAAGTATTCCCTTAATAGCTTTAAAATATTCATTTTCTAAATAAACTAACTTAGAAACTTGACTCAAATTCAGGTGTGATAACAGCAACCAAGGAAGTTTTGTCAAGTATTTCTAAAACAGTTCTTGTTAGAATGGGGAAAAAAAGGACTGGATTTGACTCCCTTCTTCAGACCAAAGGATGCCACAGGAGCTAGATTCCTGATTAAATCAACCCTCCCTAATGGCAGGAGTAGGCAGGCAGCATACTCAGAGGCAGTACATGCCATATCATTATAGGGGTGACTGCTAATGTTAACTATACACTAAAAAAGTAGAAGCAACACCACCTGAGCCCCAAGTCGAGATATTGTGCCTAAACCATGAATTTCGCTCATATGTTCGTGTCGGTTTCCCTGAAACATGAACAATGCACTAAAAAATTCATATAGGCTGTCTGCTAAATTACAGCCACATTACCAACTAATTTTGCATCACCCGAGGATAAGAAGGGGCTATGTCGCTCAAGATGCTGCGACATTCACTGTCTGGAAACTGTTACTGCTATTCTCTAACACCCTTCCAAACACCTGGAAGAGGCCAGGAAATAAATACAAGTTTATGTGTACAAGGTGCATCCACACATAGCAAACTTTTGGACATTTCTCCAACATCCACGACTGAAGCCCAGGTGTATTCCTTTACAGATTTTAAGTTATTTTACTGTACACCAATTCAAGAAATACTGACCAATAATACTAAACCCGAATTGTACAGACATATTACAAATGTATGTCTGTTCATGGGGACGCTGTGGGGTCACAGTGCATGAGCTGGAAATATTCTTTGCACGCCCACTAAGTTACAGAAACAATTATCCATTTGCTGCTAACTAAAACACACACAATTTTATTGGGTGCAAGGTGATAGGGGAGAATGTTTGGTAAGAAATTTCGGTGTGCACGTAGATGGTAATTGCGCACACATAGGTAATGTCTGTTCAAAACATATCACTCATGTAATTAAATTTAAATTGGAAAATACCAAGTTACATTGGGGGTAAAACCAGATCATAGAATCACAGGATGGTTTGGGTTGGAAGGGACCTTAGAGACCATCCAGTTCCACCCCCTGCCATGGGCAGGGACACCTCCCACTAGCCCAGGTTGCCCAAAGCCTCATCCAGCCTGGCCTTGAACCCCTCCAGGGATGGGGCATCCACAGCTTCTCTGGGCAACCTGTTCCTTGGAGCAAAGTTTTATGTTTCCAGAATTCTCTCAAAACACCAGATCAGAATGGTTGTGCCCTCTGAATGCCACTGACCCTGCTCTCTGACTCTACTAAAAGCCCCAGGAACTACAAACCAGCCAGTATTTCAGATCTTAAAGGGCAGTCCATTTCCCCTGGAACACAGGCAGCAGTAAAGGACCACAACAGTCCCTTTTGCCTTTTAAGATCTTTCCTATACCTTCTCACCTTCAAACCTGTACAAGTTGGGGAATACAAGTACAGCTGCTACTGTCATCTTCCAAAACTTACTTTCCATGAAGTACATTAAAAAGGAATTCTATTTGAACACTTCCATTACAATTTTAACTATCTAGCGCTGGCACTCACTTTAAGGTTGATACTTTGATTACTAGCACCAGGAATATAACATTAATACACGGGTGCTTTTTTTTTTTCCTAATTACACAACATAATTCCTTTTGCTTTGATTCAAGGAATAAAAATAATTACACGTTTCAGACTCCAAAATACATATGCCGCCTTACAGACAGTACACATGGGTGTTTCAGACAGTGACCACATGCTTTCAGCAAGAGACACTCACAACGTTTTCTGAGAAACCTAGGTTGTTTCTTATACCTCACTGAAGAAAAGTTTTACCTCTTAGCTAACAAAAAAAAAAAAACAAAACAAACAAAAAAAAAAAACCAAAAAAACACAAAAAACACAACCCACCCTACTTCATAAATTCTACCATAATTCCTATATTTAAAGGTAATTTTAGCTCTTGGTCCCCTCTGTTATAAGCTTGCTTAAGGATTAGAGTCTTCACAATGCACCACAACCCAAGACGGCTGCTGTGCTCTAGAACTATTCAGCAAGATAAAAGGCAACAACAGTACAGGGGCTAGTGAAATTGCAGGTTCACATTGAAAAATTTGAACCTTGGAAGAAAAGAGAGGTTTCAAACAACTCCCCATAAAGCTGTTTTCTAGCCCCAGACTTCTAGTTCTGAACAGCATTTATCTTAGTGATCTTTAACAGTCAACTGAAATTATTCCAATTTTTCTATCCGAAATAAAACAAACAGTATTTCTGGGGAGACAAGAAGGTCTCTTCCTGACAGCCGTGTCAATCTGAAGCACACAGCCAAAAACATGATGTAAAGAAACCCCAAACCCTGAACGTACTTTCTCTCCGTCTCCTGGCCAGTTGCCATGACCTTGTAATTAAAGAAATTCTTAACACAGTTCAACAACAATGAACCAAAACACCCAAGTATCCTAACATAGTTACTTTATCGCTACACATGGCTGAATTATTGGTCATGTAATATTTACTACTGTGCACGTCTTCCCTTTTGATGGTGCAACTGACCAATGCTGTAGTTGCAGGATTTGTTTCAGGAGTTTCCATTTCCAGTCCTCCTTCAAGCCATGAAAGCAGGGCTCATATCTACCGTATACTGGAAAGCAAATTAAGATATTCGAATAAATGTGCATCACGTTTCTTTATGTTCTGATATTCCTACATTTTTCCTTCTTAGTGTAGAAATAGGATATTTTCTCTGAGTATTTAGGTGGAAATGCAACTGTGTTCAAACATATTTGCCGTTAGCCATCAGTGTTTCTTTGTGTTCTTTCACAAGATTATTTCAATACTAATATAAGTAAAATGAAGGCAACTGGCAGGAAGAATGTGTGAGACAGTGGAAAATCAAGATTAAATATTGTAGTAAATAAACTATGTGGAAAACACGGAGTGTTTAGCACATTATTAAATCAGGTAAATTTGTCAGAAATGTCTTAAAAATTAATGGGCTTTCAGCTTCTCGCAAATAACAGAGCACTTGCTTTTAAGGAGTACACAGGTAAGACAGTCCTTTTCTGTGGCTATGCTGATAAGCATTTCTTAAAAAGTTAAATATTGATCCACATGTGAATAAAATATCCATCAATAAGTGGCCTTACAGTATATTTCCTTTGATCTACAAAAATCATATATTTTTTTAAAAATCTGTAACCATAAATTAATTTCATGAGAATAACAATGTACATTAAGCAACCTCACACACAGGGAGAGGCGTCACATGGAAGAAAACTGTAAATACATTTTATTCCTTAACATTTACGTTATCGTACCATTTCAATTAACTCCATACTTTTTGGGTTCCATTATCATATATTCAGATACAGGAAAAACAAAATAAACTAGAAAAATTGCATCAAAAATGTTCTTAATATGCATCTCAAGCAGACCTCCAGCACTTGTAAAAATGAGAGTTTGGCTGCCTCATTTACATGACTATATTAGATGTTTGCCTTTTTTTAATTTAAAATCAAGTATTTAAGGTTTGAAGTAGGAATTTACCACATATGAACTGATAAACGTAGGTCAGGCATAGTAAGAACTAGCCACCATAAATACATCTTAGCCAGAAGGTCAGTGTGCTATTAGTCCCAATTACGCTGAAGTGGAAGAAGCCTTCGTGTTGCAGACAATTATTCACTGCTGAATGAGCACAGACCACTGAGCTGAACACTGACTGCCATCACAGACAAAGGCTTACACAATAATGATCTCTTCTGCCAAATTCTATAAGGATTCACGTATTGAAAGCTTTCTTAGTTTCAGATCACTGATTCTTCTGTTTCAATACAAAAACAAAAAAACCCTCTATAAATATCTCCTAAATTTTGAGTACATTTTCCTAAATATTTTTTTTGAAGTTGGCAAGTCTACAACTGATTTTAAATAGATTTCAAGTTACAAATTTTCTTTGGGTGCGTGTCAAATGTTCCTAATACAACATGTGCCAGGCCAAACTGAGGACCTCACTATAATTTAAAAAAATACTTAGATGAGCTCTAATTGCTCTTGACATACAGGAATTTATACAGATTTAATTCTTAGCATTCCATTTTTTAGCATTGAACTGCAACACAGGTGACAGTCTGTTTCCCTGTGGGATAATGGTTTTAATTCAAAACCAAGTTAGTCTTGTTCCAGGCTACCAGATCGATGCCCACCACGGGGCTCCTATGCAATGAGCAAAAGACCAATAAAGAGCGTCAGAGACTTATTTTTGCCCCCACTTTGTGAGTCAGGAAAGCAGCCTGCCATGTCAGTGTCATTCTATGGGCACTGCTGTCTGAGAAATAATACCCATCCCCTTGAAACAGCCAAGGAGAAAGGAAGAAGAGACTCCGAAAACCGTGAGGGATCAGAGAGACCAGGGGGGAAAAAAGAGAGATGACAAAAACAATACAATCAGTTCTGTAAGAGGACTTGAAAATCACCTTGGCAGGCTGAAGACTTCAGCTGGTTTGCCTCCTCAGCCCCAGCAGAATGCAAGTTGTTGGTGTGCCAAAACAGCTGAGCTTCTCATCACAGCACACGCACCTTGATCTACAGATCCCCCTTCCCATATTCTGTCTCTACCTGTACCTGGTAGACTTCATCTTGCCAATGATGAGTTTATTCTTTTTATACTTGAGACCCAAATCAATGAATTCTAAAATGTATTCATTCCATGTTAAAAAAAAAGGACTTGGATAAAATACGATTGAAATGCCACACCCAACCGTTTCAAAGCCACGTGCACGCCACTGACTGACAAATGCGTAAACCCAGGCTGAGCTTCTAGACCATGTTCCAAAAAGATAAACAAGCTTATTAACAAATCTGTTCTGTAAGTTACAGCTTAGCTGCAGATCCAAGCTCTATGGTAAAAAACTGTGATTTCAGAGCCTACATCCCTCTGAACCTTCAGCATCAGCTTCCTATAACGATATGATTATTGAATGTTTCCACAAAGAGCAGCAGAAGCCAGGAGAGACCAAGGTTTTATATTAAATTGCACAGTAAAAATAGCAAGTTGCAGGTTATGGTTTTCATTAGACTAACTGAAAGTAAATGTCCTCTCTTTATTCTAGCTGTGGTTGTTTTTATTTCTGTTTTATTTAAATTTCTCGCATTAACCCCCCTCTTTTTCTACAAGATTACTACCAAATAAGAAAAGTGCTGGTTTAGGACACACTGAAATTGGAACATTAATTCATGTCCCTATGGATCTCGGGGAAAAAAGCTGCTACAAGTCTTGAACTTTACCATGATAAACCCCTGGCACCCACTAATCACAAGATTGCATCTTCACATAAGATAAGGGGAAGATTTTTGGCATGGGAATGAACACATACACCTAGTTGTTTGCAAAGGCTTGCAACCTGGCAGCCTTTCAGTAAGGTTTCACTCATGGAGCTGTTACTGTATACTCTCCAGCTATGGCTGGGAAGTTGATAATCCTTAAGATATGAGGAGACTTTTGATTTCTGACACAGCATTCCTGAGATAAATGCAGGATCAGAGAGATGCTTTGAAATTCCCAGAGATACCCCACTGGTAAACTGCTACATGGGAACAACTTTTTTTTAAAGTGTCTTTAAAAAGAAAGAAAAAAAAAAGTTAACTCACAGAGTTTGTGTTTGCCATCAAGCAATACATTAAATGTAAACCAGACACAGAAAATAAGAGAGCATCCCAAAGCCCGTCTTTCCAAACTTTCCCCATGTACCTTAGTACTTCTGTGTACTCCAGAGATAAGAGCAAATCTATTGCAGTTTCTCGTAAACATTTTTTTCTTTCCCTGGTGCAATTCCTTCCTGCTGTTGTCAGTAGGCATCCTTTCAGAGCATAAACTTGTATTTTAAGCAAAGTCACACTACATAAAAATACAGTCACCTTCAAGTGGTCATGAAACTTTCCTGCCTGTATCATTTCAAATAGAAAAGTTTCATATACGCAGTTATTCCGTCTTTCTGATTAACTGATTTATTAGCTAGTTAGCAACAATGCCTCATCATAGATCAACGTATTTACCACGGATACAAGATTGCGCATGTCACTACCAGATGATCATTGACTAGCGGTAAGACTTCTCCATCACTAAGTACACTTTAGTCTACCTGACATACCCACAAGAGGAAGGAAAGGGAAAATTAAACCACATACAAACACAGAGCTGCTGACATACTGAGGTCACGCGCAACTGCTGAAGGACAAAATATTTTATACTAGTTCATGACCTTTTCCTCGTGTATTTAGCCCCACCCACTAAACACAAGAAGCCACAGGAAACTAATACCTGCAAGTGATGGCTGTGCAGCAGCCCAGCCAGCTACACAAACCTCTGCAAAGCCCCTTGCCCTCTGCTCTTCCCTTCACAAGCACGGTGCTGGCTGCTGCTTCAGTCCACGCACCCCTTTCACTCCTCTAGATATACTCCTTTGCCAGACTAGCTTCTTTTCAGTATCTGACACAGGAATGACATCCCAAGGTTACGCAGGAGAATGTTGAGAGTTGTGGTCAAGAATGGCTGGCACTTTGGAGGTGGGGAAAGGAGAGGAGAGAGCATCAGGACAGCGCAGCATTGGAAAAATAAAAGGGCAAAACAGCAAGCAGTTCAATTCCTCGGTGACTTGCTCTACAAAACACGCTGCAATTTAAGGTGTTTTTTTTTTCACTACTTGAGTGACTTTGTAACTATCCAGAAAAAAGAACACAGAACTGCAAGTGACTGAGGGGCTGCTGCCAATACCCTGTATTTCGTTAATGTACATATTATCAAATTAAATCGCACCATTTCCTCTGATAAGGTTTTGTAGGCGTAATCTACCTGTGTCAGATACCAGGACTGCAAGTGCCCAATTACTTCCTGTCTCGTTAACCTGCTTTACACCAATTCCAATCAGATCTGCACAGACAGCACAAACCTTCTGTTTTAGCAATAGCTCAAAAATCCTTCCTCAATGAAACATGCACTTCTGCACCAGATCTCCAGGCACGTGGGATTTTGCTGTTCAAATCTCTCCCACTCAGCAATGAACAATAAGAATTTCCTGAGGAAAAACATCAGGCACAGACCAAAACATCATGCTGTGTCCCAGCCCCTGCCCATTGCTGTAAAGAGCAACGACAGGCCTCTATAGAAAGGGCTGAAAGGCACTTGGGCAGCAGCAGGGACACAGAGGCACGACAAGTCCTAATCCAGTGTCCTGCTTCTCCCAGTTTTCCCCCTCTAACTCCATCCTCCTGCTGCTCCCAAAACAAGTCCTCCTGTTCAGCACCACGAGCAGAAGGCAGCATTTACTGTGAGACAAGAGCAAGGGAGCCAAACGCCAGCACACACCATCTGTGTCTGATCTGGCCAGACAGCCACTGCCATCTCTCCCCCACCAGGGACACGGCAATCTGAGCTGAGAAGACACGCTGTGACAGCCGCATTCATACCCCTGGCAGAGCCGCACTCCTTTCCTGGGTCATCCCAGTTTGCTCGTTTGAGCACAGCAGCCACAGAGTGCAAAGCCATCACAGCCAGAGGAGGTTCAGGAATGAGCGGAGGATGACATACTGGTAAGAAGGGATTCCCTCGCAGCATTTCTGGATATGATTA